AGCCCTAATGTATATAGTTTATATTCAAGTTTATGAATAAAGTTTCTATAGTTCGGATGTAGCTTGATTACTTTAATCAAGTGAACTATGTTAAATCTTTGTGATCTTTATTGTCTTCGCTTCTTTATTATTTTGTAAAGATTTACAAAACATAAAACATTGATAGGTTGCATAAAAATATGAATAATTTCTCTATCCAAATTTGAATACATACATCGAAATCAATACTTTAGTTATATAACAAATTGTATGATATGATTAAATATATTATAGCATGAATATAGTATTCAATGAGAAATTTCAACACATGTAGAGTGATGCTTTTATTATATATGTTAAAACATAAGTATATCACTGATGTGAGATTGAGTATGTTGTATTCGGTTCTTGAGAGCACAAATTTGGTCAGACTAGTAAGAGTGTAACTCTTAAAATTAAGAAAATTAACCGAAATGTAATAAAGAATCAACATCGAGTAGAATATCATAGCGATATTTGAGGTAAAATTTGATAAAACGAGGGGAAATTTTTTATATACAAGGTTAAATGATCAGGTAAACGAAAAAGGAAAAGTTGAAGTTCAACAAAATAATTACTAATGAGTATGGATATTTGGATAAAATTTAGGTATCGTAAATTTAGTATAACTATATGTTTTGTAGTGTTGTTATATATTAATATCTTGTGGGGTTAGGTCTAGTTTTGGGGAATAGGGTATTTCATCTCCATTCTCATCCCTATTTTTTTATTTGGGGATATCTTATCCCCGGTCAACTTGGGGATTCCTAGTCAATCTGGCTATGGATTTCGGATTCCCATGAGGTATGAGTTTTTGTTTTCCATCCTAAATGTACGGGCTGGACCTAGCCGTTGATTACGTGGTTCAAGTTTGTTTCTTATTTATCTCTTGTAAAAGGATCAAAGACAATAAGTTTTGATTAGGTAGTTCAAGTATGTTTCTTATTTATCTCTTGTAAAAGGATCCAAAGACAATAAGTTTGTTATTCCTCACCGATGACAGTTAAATTCGCTATTTAACAATTGGTTGCAAATTTACAAGACTATATGAAAACAACTAGTCCCCACCAAAATGATTGAAAAATCTCTCTTCAAAGAGCATGCAAATTTACAAAGGTTATACGAAAAAATATATATATATTTGAAAAACGTCCAACAAGTATTAATTTTTTTTTTCAAATCAATTTAATTTAAAAAAAGCTCATAGTGAGGATGTTGTCAATGTTCTATTTTTCTTTTTTTTCTCTAGAAAAAAAAAATCTCTCTTAAAAGGTGTCAAAGACAGACCCCGTGTACCACATGACGAGTTTACTTCTTAAATTAGTAAAAATTAAAATGACAGTGAAAATTCACAAACGTTTAGGGGTGAAGCCCTTTGAGTTTGGACCGCAGTGATGGTGACTGGTGAGGAATAACAAACTTATTGTCTTTGAATCCTTTTTGAAGAGAGTACCTAACCAAAGACTAGCTAGGTCCAGCCCATAAGTCTAAACTAATTGTCGCTTTAATTAATAGAGCAAATTACCCCACAACAATTACCTAAGAATTACCATTTTGACGACTTCCGTGAAATGGTATTTATAAGTCTTATCTTTTGATGTTATAAATAGGTTTTGTTTGTTTGAACCGTGTTAAAAGTTATGTTATTGTATTTCTTGGCCCTGTTGATTAATTATTGAAGAAAATGGATCGGACCTCCACTCTAACGACCTCAACTGTTGCTCTCCTTCGGTTTATTTTGGTGCTATATATTTTTTCATCGGTTTATGGGAATTCTGAAGGTATGTTCTCTTGGTGCCAATTTAAAACGTTGCAATGTTGCTTTGCAAGACTTAGTAATTCACTTCAACTGATCTTAGCATCTTTTTTCCTTGGAGTGTACGGATTTTAAGATGACCAGGTAATTGTCTAATTGATTTAATGTGTAACACAGGTGATGCTCTGATCACCTTCAAGAAATAATTAAGCGATCCGTACAATGTTCTCCAAAGTTGGGATCCAAGCCATGTTAACCCGTGTACTTGGTTTTATGTTAGTTGCAACTCAAACGGTAGTGTCACACGATTGTAAGCATATCCTACTTTTTTTTTTAAATGAAATTTTGTTATAGTACTTTCTCTATTGTCATGATTTTCAAAACGAAATCCTCTGCGTTCTTGGATTTGTTGAATGCAGAGATCTCTGGAACACGAGCTTGACTGGTCGACTGGTCCCGCAGCTCGGTCAACTCACCAATTTGAACTACTTGTAAGTGCGGCCTTTTAGCAATTGAAACTATACGTATTTTATTAAGTAGAACATGTTCTTGTATTAGCAAATAAATAATATAAACCATAATAGCAATAGTGACAATAACGGTCACTCGGTCAGGGATGACTTAAACATAACTTTTTTAAACCTTAAACTGACGAATTAGTTAACGTTCTAAATAGATCAATCTATGGTCACAGGGAGATTTCTGGTAATAAGATCAAGGGAAAATTTCCTAAAGAGCTTGGGAACTTAAAGAATTTGGTGAGTTTGGATCTTTACATGAATCAGTTAGAAGGTCACATTCCAAGCACATTAGGCCACCTTCAGAAGCTTCGCTACCTGTACGATTTCACATATTTCAAATTCTTTTCACAATATTATTGATTTTATATATTTATGATCATCTTTTCAACATATCATTGCTCACTGTGTCGTTTTCTGCTTGTGCGAGGGCAGACGTCTCCACCGTAATGCTTTGACAGGAACTATCCCATATTCGCTAACCACTATAACTACACTAAATGTTCTGTTAGTATCCAATTTAGCTGGCATATATGCTTTCATGCATTTTATGTATTTTGTGCAACACGTTTAATATATTTAGTGGTTTTTATCACAGTGATTTATCTTACAACCGTTTGAGTGGACATGTTCCAGTCAACGGCTCCTTTGCAAAATTTACACCTATAAGGTATGCTATTACTTATTTGAATCGTGAAACAATACATGATGTCTTCTTGATATTGACTGCAATATATATTTTTTTTCTTCAGTTTTTTCAATAATCCGGGGTTGATATTTCCTGTGTATCTCCCCCCACCTCAATCTAGAGATGTACCAGTTACTGCTCCTGCTCCAGCTCCAGCTAAGCCCCTATAAATCCATGCAGGTATTTTAAGCATCATTGGTGATTATTACTACTAATACTCGAGTGTTTTTATTTAATGGACTTAATAAAACAAACTTAGTGGTTCTTTTTTACATTACGTAGAAAGAATAAACTTTATATAGAGAAATAAGAAATAGTCTTAAATATAAGAGCAAATAAAATCGTTTTCTTTTTTTGCTGTACGATTTGGTTCTTGGTTTTCTTTGTTTTGCACTGGGACGTCCTTTTGTTATTATTTTATTGTGTTTTACGTCCTTTGTAGAGATGAAAAATATATATTGTCCTTTGTATATTTTTAGATATTTTTATTATTTATTATTTATAAAAAATAAATTAAATAATT